AATGTAGGCCTGTTACATTCTTATTTTTATTAGGCCTATTATTATTAAGTTACTTTTATTATTAAATTAAAATTACAATTAATTTGCCCAGCAATAATTACCGCATAACTGACGTGCTGCGAGGATAACAAAAGATGTTTAGCCTATCCTCAATTAAAATGTTTTTAAAAACAGTCTACGAAGAATTATATACCTATAATTAAAATATTAACACTGCAGTCATCGATAAAAATCAATGAAATAAAAAGCTTTTATTCCAAGCACCGACTGTAAATAACAACCTGTTTAACACGAAATATGTTTCTTCTAATTTTTTTTTCACTATGTACGGGCCACAAGAGAAATATTAAGGGAATAAATTAAAACAGTTAGCTATATATACCGTTATCAGCATATGTTGAAGTAGATTCGTCTCTGAGAGAGAATGCGGCGTCAGATGCCGAAAGCGCCGTCATTACTCCGTCATTCCGTTTTTACTTTCACTTTCTGCATATAGTGAATTGACTGAGATTATAAGACGTTCACCGGCATAACTCTTGCGAAAAGTTTGCATGTTGCCTGTGTGATATCCATTGGCTTGCCTTCATAAAACAGAAATATTTCCAGCATTGCGACAACCAATTAGCCCCGTACAGAACATACCGAACCGAACCGTGACACCACTGTGTCGTATCGAACCAAACCGTGAATTCTGTGTACCGTTACACCCCTAAATATATATCAATGCATACTGCTTGAATTTATTGAGGGTGTTTTTAACAATGATAATGCCTGTTGTTTGAACAGGTTTTATAAATGTTTTGAAACGAATGTAAAAGAATGTAAAAAAAATGTATTACCGTTAAAGCTACACTATTTTGAAAACACCAAGTTTTTAGTTTCACTGCTTGTAAATGTGGTAAAGTTAGTTATGATGAGGATGACGATGGGCCCATGTGTGCTATCTGTGTACATGTGCTTTTCATGGCCGTGTGTATCCTGTGGTGTTTTTGCTCACGGTTGGTGGCACTGGAAGTGCCTGTGAACAATATTCTTGATTAATTGAAGGAAGCCTGTCTGCTGACAGCTCAGTGAAACTAGATCTTGTTTTAGCATTAGATTTATGACCACTGCAACCTGCCAGTAAATATATTACAGCCTCTTACAAGAATATATATGCTTCGATTAAATTAAAACAGGACAATAGATAGGCACATCCACATAATTACTCGCTGCATTAAATCCTTCTTGGCTATGCATTAACGATCCATTCTGACTAATATCTTGTTCTTCAAGTGTTGTTGTTTTTGTGTGTGTGTGTGTGTGTGTGTGTGTGTGTGTGTGTGGGGGGGGGGGGGCCCAAAATCCAGCATAGAGTCATCCTTTGGCTGCCTCCAGTACCATTAAAGTGGACAGATGGAATTGAGCTCCTTTGGGCCTGTAAAAGTAATTTCTTTATACCAGCTACTAATGTCATCCCACAGTGGTGCTCCGTTAGAGGGGAAAGCTGTCATATTGCAGTTTCTAAAACATTCATCTTGTGTAGTCAGACTTTTGACTAAAGTATGGTCCACTTTACACTTTATTTTGGCCAAGATTTGACCATTTAGACATGTAATGCAACCAACCACAGTTCATTTGGTTTTTAGTTTAGGGGCCAGTATGTTTGAAATGGATTATTACAATCAGTGTTGTTTTAGAATCATTGAAATACTATTATAGTTTTTATTAATATTTTGAATTAGTTTTTGTTTTTATATTCTATCATTTTTGTTTTCATTTTAATTTTATTTAAAGTTTTCATTTTTTGTGTGTGTTTTTGTCATTTTTGTATTTTTAAATATGTCTACATAGCGTTTAATAATTTTTTATTCAGTTTTAGTTATGTAGGTACATCAGATTAAATGAAATGAAAATTAGAAATGTTGCCTTGGCATCTAGTTGATTTTAATATATTTCAGATTAAATTCATTTTATTTCCAGTAATGAAAATTTGTTATGGTTTTAGTTAACTATAATAACCCTTATAACAATACTTCGTATATTACAGTTTTTCTCAGTACAAATTCTGACAATGGACTTTCTAATTTTGTATTTTCGCCTTTGTGCCCATATTTCTTTTTCTTTTCTATATCACAATGACATTGTAATGTGTGTGTGTGTGTGTGTGTGTGTGTGTACTTATGCTACATTGTGGACCAAATGTCCCCACAAGGATAGTAAAACCTGATATTTTTGACATTGTGGGGACTGGCCTGCGGTCCCGACGAGAGGGGAAAAAAATATTAAAAATGGTAAATGATGTTTATCTGAAAGTGTAACAATACAAACAGGTTTTCTGTAAGGGGTAGGTTTAGGGTTAGGGTTGGGTTAGGGGATAGAAAATATTGTTTGGTCAGTATAAAAGTAATCTAAGTCTAGGGACAGTCCCCACAATTCACAGAAACAAACGTGTGTGTGTATGTTTTTTGGTCAGACCACTAGTAAAAGTGTAACTTTGTAAGCTTTATAAATTTTATATACAGTTTTTCTCAGTCGCTTTGGTGCATTTCTCAAATCAGAAATGAAATTCTCAAAACTACTTGTACAACCTCCACATCATCTAGTCATTTGTACACATCATAAAAGCAGTTTCTCATTCTTTTGAACACGTTGCGATTGCTTTGGTACCTTCATGCAACTGATTATGCACATTTGTCTGCGGTTTCCTACATTATCAGTTGCTAATGTCATGTTGCTCAAAATGTATTATATAGTTCTCTGTGCAATAGTCTTACCCCTCAAAACATCTAGTCTTTAGTTCATCGTATAAGTCATTAAATGCAAAATGGTTCATCTAGTTGTCATAAACCGTCAAGCACATTTTTTACACATTATTATTAGACTTTTTGTAAATTTGGCATGAATTATGCAAGTGAATCTTGACTTTCACTAATGAAGAGAATCTTTTGAGAGATGAACTAAAGATTTTGAGTAAGTTGCAGGCTTTTGCAGGTAATCCATTGTGTGGTGCTGTTTGTTCAAATTGTTTTGAGAAATGCACATACATTTTTGCAAATATTAAGGATGATTTGAGAAATGCACCAAAGTGACTGAGAAAAACTGTAACATATTTAAAATGTGATTTAAAAGAATCCAGGTCTTAGGTTTGCTGTACTTTTTTTGCACAATTTTGTGATTATATATCAATATGGCTATAAAATAATGATAATAATAATAATTAGTTTAGTTGTAGTAGTAATTAATATCTAAAACATTACTAAATAAAAACAAAATAAGAAATATTACTATTGTAATATTTCATTATAAAACATAAAAAATGAAGTATTTTAGAAAAAGAAAATTTTCTTAACTGTAAAATTAAATTGCAAATGTTTATGGACATCTTTATTTCTTCATTTTCAAATGTTAAACCATCAAACTTTTATTTTGATGGGAAATTTATTTTGATGGTGCTTATATTTATTTAATTAAATCAAAGCCTTTGTAATTTAATAATTGCACTAAGCCATATCGTGATTTCAGTTTTATTTCAATTAACCGTGCAGCCCAATTAGATGGTCTGTGCATGGTCTGCTGTCACTTTAAGAGGATCTTATGTGTAGCGGTAATGACATTGAGTTGCTTCTCTATTGCAGCGTGAGAGTGTTTGACTTGCGTACGGGCTCCTCAGTCGTCTCTTTATATGCCCATCACATGGGCGTGACCACCGTCCAGGCAGATGATTGGAAGATCGTGAGCGGCGGTGGCGAGGGATTGGTCAGTGTGTGGGAGATGAGGATAGGAGCCAAACTCTGGGAAATGCACAACAGGTGAGAATGCTCATTTTATTAACATTTTTCACAGACGAATGAGTGAATAACAATTCTGCCATCATGTACCCATCAAAAAAGATAAGGCATTTCTTTAGCTCAAACAGTGGAGCATGGTGCTAGCAACACCAAGGTCATGGGTTTGATTCCTAGGGACTGATGACTGTAAATCACTTCAGATAAAAGTATCTGCCAATGCATGCATTTGAAAATAAAAACTAAGCATTTAAATATTATCAAGACATACTATTGGGAGTATATACTATTTATATGCTTTTTATGTAAGTAGTCTGCTATACTGTTATAAAGATCTTATTGATTTACATTACAAGCCATCAGAATTTTTATCATACAAATATCAGCAGCTGCACCAAAATGCATATTTTTGCTCCGTTTGGGCCACTGAATAACATTGAGGCATTTCTTTCCTCCATGAGTATGAGCTCATATTCTCCTATATCATACTATACGAGCCATGAAAGCCTGATGTAGCAAATATGAGATTCAACAAAAACATTTTTCATTTAAAAAAATGGGTCTATTATGTCATATATCAGACTTTACAGGGTTAAGATGATCCTGATGTGATTGTTTTCAAAAGCAGAAGTGCCTGACAACACGTAATTGTTCTGTGTGTGAACAGACACCCGGTTCGCCACATACGGTTCAACACCAGCACCCTGGTGACGGCCAACGTCCCTGATGAGAAGAACCCTCGCGGGGCTTGTATCACAGACGATGACCTCACCGCTCACCGCAGGTAACAACACATATTACTTTATGTTGTGCTGTCTTTGCTATTATGTTCCCACCTGTTTATTCTGTGCTTTTATTTTTCTTTAGGTACAGAGGGCTGATCTGTCACTATGATTTCTCTATGGACTCGTCGACCCCGGATCACGTTCTGCCCATCTGCAGGTCCAACTACACGGAGTCCTCTGGATACAACTATAACATAGGCTTGTCGATGCCATATGACATACTGAAAAGCCCTTAGGTTGGCTTTCAGGATCAGTTGCAGTGGGAAGATTGATATTGAATTTGATATTTTAAAATGATCCGGGGTCATATTCCTTAAAACTAATCAATAATACAATCAAAAACAGTGTAATTTCAAAGCTCTGTGTCTGGATGGCCCATTAAGATGTATGGACTAGAATTGTGTACATTTTTTTGCTCATTTTAGTATACAATATTATAATATTAAATCACCATCTGAGAAGATGAAATACAAATGATACAAACTGAAGTTTTGGTGGATTCATAACTCTCTGCAGTCAGTAATTCACCACACAAAGGTAGTATGATTTATTTATTTATTTCATATTTGAAAGAAGTCTCACCAAGGCTGATTTTATTTGATCTAAAGTACAGTATTTTAATATAATAAATACAATTTATTCCTGTGATCAAAGCTGAATTTTCAGCATCATTACTCCAGTCTTCAGTGTCACATGATCTTTCAGAGATCATTCTAATATGCTGATTTGCTGCTCAAAAAACATTACTTATTATTTTTTGTTGAAGCAGTGATATATATTTTCATAATGCTTTAATGAATAGAAAGTTCAAAAGAACAGCATTTATTGGAAATATACATTTTTAGAACGTTATAAATGTCATTACTGTTACTTTTTAAATCAATTTAATGCTTCCTTGCGGAATAAAAGCATTAATTATTAATTTCTCAAAAAAAAAAAAAATTTGACCAGTAGTGTACATTGTTATGCACACATACCATGTTTATCTTTTGCAAGTGAAGCTGTAATTAACCTGGTCTTGTGCCTTTCCTCTTGTGTAGTCTTGTTTTTCGAGCATGAGAACATGGCATATACCTAATTTGGCTTCGACCAAGTAAAAGATGAATTTGCACCAAATACCACAGTTTGACTGAACACACAACCTAAATATGGTATGGAATGCATTTTGTAACCTTGCATAGATTCAAGATTTCTGACAGAATGCATCAAAGGAAAAAAAAATTACTTTTAAAACTATGATTATTTTATTTGTTTCAATATAAAGAAAGGCGGTAAGACAGTCAGAGTGGTAAGAGTTTCAACTGGCAATAATAAAAATATCATTTTTATATCATTTAATAAATGCTGTAAAACTTTACATACCCTGTAATACATTTTAATATATAACTTTAGTGGAAGGAGGCCAGATGGATTAAACGTTATTATATAAGAGGGCAAATGCACAAGGGCAACAAAACATTCACTCCCTACTGTTTTTGAAGTGAATGATAAGATTTGTGGATTCATTAACTTAGCGTGTGGAGTGTTTCAGCACTGGTTTGATTGTTGATTTTGTAAAGACTTCCTCCATTATAAAATCAGCACTTTGCTCAGAAGGGAAATTTATGATCACACGGCTCAATTCCACTGTTACATAGCATCTGAAAGTATGTATGAATCAAAATGCCTTGCATTGTACATATGTGAATATATGAAGTCACAAAAATAGCCGGGCTTCATGTGGTTGATAAATGTCTTCCAAATATATAGTTTATATATATATATATATATACATACATGTACATATACTTGGCATGTTTGGTTTGGACTCTGAAATGTAGTCATGTTCACTTGTAGACATGTCCATATCTTGATCATTGGAGATATTGCAGAGAAAGCTAACTCAATACTACGAGTTGAATACGTGGGACAAATTTTACACGTTTAGGTCTAAAATAACGACTGTGGTGACTATAAAGTAATGTTGTGAAGCGGAAATGACTCTCATTTCCCACATTGCATTGTCCTGGTGTCCAAGTTCCAAAAGTGAATATTCATCTTGGTCTCGATCTCTACATCTTTCAATATCTGCGGGAGAGACAGTTAAGTGTGAGGTATGAGCAGCATGCATGTTTTACCATTATATTTCATTATAATTCATATTGTAGAGAGCAAACCTGCATGAACTGTTCAAAGGTGATTCCCTCATAAAACTCATCAGGACCCTAAAACAAAACAAGTACCAGATCAACAGGTATCAAAATCACATTAGAGCTTTAAAATGTCCAATTCCATCATGGTTTGCCAGCGTACCATCTGACCCACAGTGACACTCGCCACCTCCAGCATTGCAGCGTCTGAAATGGCTTTGGCGGTTTCTGCTCCTATGGTTTCATAGCTGGACAGCAGCTCCTCCACCACCTAGAATCACAGTCACACAGCGGTCAAACAAGCCATGACTGCGTTTGTAGTTTTATATCAAATAAGAAATGAATCTTACACGTCTGTATTCGTCCAGCGTGATGATGCCGTCCTTGTCAGTGTCATGCATGTTGAATAGAACTAAAGAGAAGAAGATATGCAGTTTATCAAAATGAAAATGTAAACCTCCAAACTATATTAATGCTGAAAGAAGTTGCCAAAAATAGTCTTTCAAAATTATAAATGTTAAAAGGGAAGTGGTGATGCTTAACCTTTTTTTAGAAATAAAATAAATATTTACTGAAATAAAATAAACATAAAAAACGCATTTATTTCAGCTATTTGTCAAGGCAAAATTGTTCATTTCTGTTTAGTTTGTGTTTACATAATATATGTGTGTGTACTGTGTAATATGTATATGTAATATATATTTATATATAATATAAATCATATATATATATATATATATATATATATATATTACACACACTACTGGTCAAAAGTTTGGGATCAGAACAATTTTTAATGTTTTTTTACAGGAGTTTCTTATGCTCATCAAGGCTGTATTTATCTGATCAAAAATACAGGAAAAAATTTAATTTTGTGAAATATTATTACGATGTAAAATAACGTTTTTCTGTTTTAATATTCATTAAAATCGAATTTATTCCTGTGATGCAAAGCTGAATTTTCAGCAGCATTACTCCAGTCTTCAGTGTCACATGATCCTTCAGAAATCATTCTAATATGCTGATTTATTATCAGTGCTGGAAACTGTTGTGCTGCTTAATATATATGTTTTTTGGAATCTGTGATTTATATTTTTGAATAAATGCTGTTCTTTTGAACTTTTTATTCATCAAAGCATCCTGAAAAAAGTATCGCAGTTTCCAAAAATTGGAAAAAATATTTATATATATACACATAAATATACACAGTACATATATTATGTAAATAAACTTGAATTTTGGATTTGATTAATCGATTTGACAACGCTATTAGATACTAAAATAACTAAAAATAACCCAAAAATATATATAGTATCTACATATTTTAATAAAAACTATGTAAAGTAGATATATATTAAAAAAAAAACTAATAATAAAATAAACACAAAATTACTCAAATTTCCTAAATAAAATGAAGACAGAAATTCAAATTATGAACAAAAATTATAATAGTATATCGATGATACTAAAATAACACTGATATGTGTAAAACTTGCACAGACTTCAGCTTGCTTGGATTGAAAGAACATCTGTATTCTCACAGCGTAGTTTCTCCTTCTTGACGTTTTTCATCTCCTCGTCTGCAGTGCGTGGTTTGGGTGGTCTGAAGAAAGACAGGACCGTTACGAATTCCTCAAAACCGATCTCCTGCAGACAGCCCTTCTCTTTTTCACCCATGTTCCTGCATGAAAGCACACAGACATTAGCACTCAGTATGTTTAGAAGCATGACAGAATGATTTGATTAAATTTGGATAGATGCACCCCTCAAAATAAAGGTCTGAAAAGGGGGTTTTCACAGCAATGCCATAGAAGAAGCATTTTTTGGTTCCCCGAAGAGCCCTTCAGTCAGCAGTTTTTAAAATAACCATTTTTTGTTTCTTAGTGTGAAGAACATTTCAACAATCTAAAGATCCACTTTCCACTATAAAGAACCTTTTGTGGAATGGAAAGGTTCAATGGGTGTTAAAGGTTTTTCATGGAACCATCAATGCCGATACGTCCAACTTTATCCGCTTACAGTATACTCGTGTAGAGGGAGTGTATCTCAGCAGCTTTGCAAAATGTAAACTATATTATCACCCAGCTCTGCTCAATGTGACTATAGGGCATGAATATATTAAGATATTATAAATACTAACATCATGATTTTCTGTCAAGCTGCTTTGAAACAATGTGTATTGTAAAAGGCACTATACAACTAAATTTGATTCGACTTGATTTGAATTTGACAGGTATTCCAGAGGTTCCCAGTACACATTTTGAATGTCTCCCTAATGTGACGCCTATGGAGCCGATGATTTGATTCAGGTGTTTGATTAGTGTGCTTTGTTGGGGTAGCTACACAAGAGACTGAACTGGGAAATACTGCGGTAAACTACTTACTAAGGTAGGTTTATTTCTGAAAGTCCGTTTCAGTGTAGACAGTGTATCTCAGCTTTTTGCACAGAGACAACTGTACGAAATATTTCAAGTTTGTTCATGTTAATTCATGTTCATGTTTGTTAAATAGTAACTATAACTTTTGGCTAAATAAATGCTACTGAACGTTCTCCATTATTATCCATGAGGGACATTCATTAAGGTTCATTAAAGTCATGTTGTCACACTATATGGGGTTTATTGCAACAACTGGAACCTAAGTTTTTTTTTTTCACTCTATATTGAGAAGAATACCGTCTTGTGAATTATAAAATACAGGATACTATCAAAGTAAATTAAAAATATGTACACTCTAAAAAATGCTGGGTTAAAAAGGGACAACCCCAGCTATTGGGTTGTTTTGACCCAGCGGTTGGGTCAAAACAACCCAATCGCTGGGTTGTCCCTTTTTATCCCAGCATTTTTTAGTGTACACTCTAAAAAATGCTGGGTTATTTTTTTTTTAACCCAAATGCTGTGTTGAGCAATTTTTTGGGGGTTATTTTTTCAGTGTTTGGGTAGTTTTTGTGTTACCCAGCTCCTGGGTCAAATGTAACAACCCAGTGTTTGGGTTGTTTTGCAGCTCCTGGGTCAGACATAACAACCCAATGTTTGGGTAGTTTTTGTATTACTCAGATCCTGGGTCAGATGTAACCCAGCGGTTGAGTTATTTATCGCGGGGATTTTGCGTTCTCTTCTGGAGAGAACAGTTCTAAGCGCCATCGAATTGATGCATTTCTTCGGTAAAATACAGGTTTGTGTACATTTTATTTTATATATAAAATCGCTACTGTGCTGTATATCGTTCAATTTCATGCAGAGCAACATACACTCTAAAAAATGCTGGGTTAAATACAACCCAGCGCTGGGTAAAATAGGGACAAACCCAGCAATTGGGTTGT